AAAAAAAAAAAAAAGGAGAGAGTTCCACTGTCCGCCTAGACCCCAATTTACTGTGTTGCTAACCCTTCCCTTCAGCCGTACACCCAGCTTTCTGTCTGACGTTCTGCTCTACAGACAAGTTGCTCCCCCCCCCCCCCAGACTGGTGCTGCTCTCATGGCCAGTCCAACTGCAGACCGTGACGCGGCCTCTTTCAAGTTTTTCATAATGCACTCCCCATGCACTGCAACCAACAGATGGACAAAACAACACTGAATACCATAGACAACGAAGAACTCAAATTCTTGATTGAGAAAACAAAAGTGGAAGGCGAATCAATCACAGAAAAGCAAAAGATAGAAGGGAAAGAGGAGGACGTGATTGTGTGGAAGTGCCCCAATGGGAAAGTACCCGAACAAGACGAGCTCCACGAAAGGCATGGAGTGGTTTTCAACTGTGCTCGCAACGGAGCAGATCTCATGCCGGCAGAGAAGAGAAAATGGATTATAGAAACAATAATCTTCAACGGGATTTCCAGCTTGTTTTTCGTAACTGGTTTACGCTTCAGCTCGGAGACTCCCTCAGACCTCCTGATTGTTTCCCAGATATCTTTCCTCCTTCGCAGCTCTCCCTGGTTGATTTGGAATGGTATGGTAGGGAGGGGTAAGATGACGCTAAGATCCAATAGATGATGGATGGGCAGGGAGCTTGGACGACAAGTGACATCTGGCGGACCCTCTGGGACTGAATAGGCTTCCCTATCTTTTTTATCATACACTCAATGCAATGTATTTTTGGGGACGCTAGACCAGTTTTCCAGCAGGTGCAGCTCCCCACCAATAAAAAGGAGCCACCGTAGGGGCATGGTACCTGATGATGCTCGTATCATCTCAGGTAACAATCCCAGCGGATGTTTAAAAAAAAAAGAAAAAAAAAAAAGAAGGGAGCAAAACTCAAACACGTTGGGGAAGCCTTTTCTCTGCAGATTTTGGGTCGTAACAACATCATGGTGCTCTTCAACAATGAAGATCATGCACGGATTGCAACAGAAATGCAGTCCAGGAACTGCAACGGATCGATCTGTACGATTACCAAATAGAAGAAACTGACTGTTCAGAGGCAAAATCCGACTTGCACGGTTTCTTACAAACAAACACTGATGAAAGAAAATTTTTGGGTACAGTTCGGCAACATTCAACCGGAATTCCATGGTTTGTTGGTGGACAGACTGGAGGGACAGTATCCAACAAACAAAATCCTTAAATGGATCTTGCCGACTCCAGATTTTCTTGCACCTCATTGTGGCTCCATGACTGCCTTACTAGAAGTCAAGACAGATGACCCCCCGGTTTTTCCACTGATGTGGAAATTCCAGATCGAGAACAGCGTACGAGAAGTCAAGGTATCTACCAAGACTTCTCAGATTTGCTTCAGATGCAGGGAACGTCGTCGAGCGCATCGGCCCGGCACCGCACATGGCAGCGCGGGACCCTCTCGGCCGCGTCACGCAAGAGTTGGACCAACCTCGTCATGAGCACACCAAGTGGAGCTTCCTTAGGCCGCTCCGGCCGAGTGCGCCAGCCATACCTCTCGCGAGCCCCTACGACAGGATAGGGCCTACGCGAGGCACAACTTACCTCCACCTTACGGGAGCTGTCACCTCCCATCGGTGGGCGTATCCCCGCCGAGCTACGAGTCCACAATACGAAAGCTAATCAGTTGCAATCGCAGAGGTGGACCAGCCGAGGGTGTTTCTCGTTCGCTGTAGCATAGGGGGCACGCGCGGTAATACGCCTATCGGACCTGCACGCGAGCCGGCATCCCGGGGGGCTGATGTCCCAAGCGCGGCCCGACATCGGTCGGTTAGGACGCATCCCACTCGCCACGCGCACGTCACTCTAACAACGCAGAGACACTGCAACATACGCACACGCACACAAGACAGCATGACACAAACGTACGCGCACGCACACCCCCATAACAAAACACCGCCCACGTATGACACGCAACTCGAACAACGCGACAACGCTCCTAGCCCCTTAGTAACCGTCCCATAACTGTTCAATACGGAAATCGAGCAGGCGCTACGCGCGGGACTTAATATAAACCGCGCAGGACGCAAGGTTAGCTCATACCTCTCCGCGATGCAAGCGTACGCAAGCAGTCGCAACAATGGCCTACTATGTAGTACCCATACTCACGCGGCCCTCGTTAACCTCGAGGATCGCGTTCGACACTCAAGTGTCGGTTGGCACGCGCCTTGAGGGTTAATCTCTCAACGTTGGACAACCGCCATGCGCGGTTGAAGGTCACACACCCTCTTCTGCACCCTTATGCAGAGTGGGTGGTACACAGGCCCATGCCTGTGGTGGTGGTCGTTTTCTCGCGGCCCTGGGGCAAGTCCTCCCCGGGCCTGGGCGAAAGTCAAGGGGTTTGACTTTGACGGCTGCCACGAACTACAACGTCCAACCATAAAAATCTCAAGAAGCAAAACAGTGGAAAATAGGTTGTCGGTTCCCCTACGTCAGGGTGATACCCAGCGGCCTATGATAATCCCAAGCGTCGCGCATATGGGCGAGTCCCCCGATCCCATAACTCTTAGGCACTCGGCTAAGGGAGGTGTTGCGCGCGGGGCTCTCATATAAGCAGCGCGGCTGCAGGCCGATCCCATACCAACCGATAATGCCGGTCATGCGTGGAAATCGCGGCTCCGGCGTCGCGATATTGAATGGCTGAAGGAATACGTCGTGAGGGGATCGCCCCTCACGATATTGAACGGCTGAAGGACACGTCGTTCGGCCCTCGCGGCGCTTTCGTCCCCAGGGTGGGGTGTCTTGCTAGGCAAAATAAATAGGCTCTGTGCGAGGAGATTTTTCCCTCACGCGGAGTCTGGGGCTTGGGATGTCCTGGACAAGGACCTCGAATTCCCGCCCCTGGACTAACGTCCGACTAAGAAGAACCCCCAAGGGGTAAACAAGCAAACGCCAAAGGGGGTGCCCCCTTTTTCATCCATCACC